GGCAGGACTTGGGACTTGACTTGACACTTTTCAGTCTTGACTTGGATTCGACTCGGACTTTGCCTATTTTGACTTGAGACTTGATTCGGACTTGAGTGCAAAGACTTGAGACTTGCTTGTGACTTGCAAAGCAATGACTTGGTCCCACCTCTGGTATGTACTATTAAAGCAGTGGTTCTTAATTATTTTCTGTCATGCTCCCCTATGGAAACAGTCTGGAAAACACATTATATATATTTATATATATTATATTTACATATATATATAATATATATAATGTATTCCTATATAATATGATACAGCAAGTTAGATATCTATTTTGTACTCTAAATGTACCAAATTATGTAATTTAATAATAAAATAAATGTATTATATATAATGCATGAAATACAATAAAATGACAGTTGACTGATTTAAAGTTCCATCACCTTAAATACCCGTCATTTTCAACACGGTTTTACTAACATAAGTATTTTCACATTGCATCAACTTAGTAACTGTTCCTATTGATGTTTCAGTAAAAAAACTTTCATGTTTATCTCATCTTAACCTTTTTAAACTTGGGAAAGTTCTTCTTCAAAAATTACCTGTGTCCAAATCTGTGTCCCGAGTCCTGAAGCAGGAAAGAGCTAACGTGTAACCAGCCGTGTTACAGACACTGTTCGGGAAAAAAAAGGATTTATTTACTTAAAATTAAAAAGAAATATATATGTACAATTTTTTTTTTCTTTTTAATAGTCCAGAAATTACTGTAGGTGTTAATGCAAACAATCCTTTTAGCACTTTTTTTTTTCTGACACAGTGGGAATTGATACAAAAATCAACCAAGAAACAAATCGATAACACAGTTCGACTTCTTATCTATTCCCAGCCAAACAGAAACTGCGAAATGTGCCACTAGGCATCAGGCCTCACTCACTGTAAAATTAGATACATACTGTATATATATGTGTCCCCTAAGACTCTTGTTTATTCATCAACAGGTTCAGCTGCAGCCCCACCCACCACGCTGTCTCTCAGCCAATCATGGGAGTCAGCAACAGGAAGTCTGGATGGAGGTAGAGGACGAAGGATAGGAGGAGAAAGAGGTGGACAACGAGAAGGAGGACCTCTACCTGAGAACTGGGAGCTGGCCTTCACTGACTCAGGAGACGCCAGCTGTTTGAAGTCAGTTCTAATACTAGCTAGTAATTGCTGTAAAAAAAAAAAAAAAAAAAGACTGATAGTTGCTTCTGAGTGACAGCTGCTAACAGTAATGTTTACATGGTACTGACCAGAGGGTTATTTTGAAGATCCACTCTCAGTGTAGTAAACTGGGTATGGGTACTGGCTTACTTTGTGACAACTGCATGAAAACTGTGGAGCAGCCTTAGCGTAAAATACCTTAAACCGATTGATACAATATGAAAACAACAAAAACAAGACCAAAAAAAAAAAAAAAAAATTCTTATATAATTTAACAGTAACTAGACAGTAGTTAGGTATGCTGTCTGATAGGTCAAAAGAAGGGGTGTGGTTACATCAGGCACCATGGAGTCTCCATCTGGACAATAATGTTTGTTTGCAGATGACATTGTACTATGTGGTGAGAACAGGGAGCAGGTGGAAGAAAACCTGGAGAGGTGTAGGTTTGATTTGGAGTGAAGAGGAATGAATGTCAGCAGAAGCAAGACTACGAGAATACGTGTCTAAAGGGAAGGGGAAACGAAATTTAGCCCGCATGTACACGCTTGATTCCGTAGCGTACCTTACACGTACGCTACGTAACTTACATAAACATAAAAATGAACTTAACTTAGCTTACCGTACCGGATTTTTTTTTTAACTTTTCTATTTTTTACTTTTGTTTTTTTGCCTTTTTTGATTTCATGGTCATCATGTGTTTCTTCTTCTCACTACCGTCCTTACCACTCAGTCTCACAAAATAGAGAGAAAATCACATGCTTACGGAAGGGGACGAACACGTGAAGTGAACGAGTGAGGCGGCGTGGGCTGCTCCGAGTGCTCACGCCCACCGAGCGTCAGTTTCTGTAAGCGTGCTCGTATCTCGAGTTTTTACTCGTATCTTGAAGCAAAACATTTGCTCGACGGCTTGCTCAAAATAGTATCTCAAAATATAGTATGTTGAGGTGCTTGTATCTCGAGGTTCCACTGTATTGAGGAGAGATAGTGAGCATGTTGGATAAAGGATGTTGGAGATGTTGGAGTTACAGAGCAGAGGGGAAAAGATGGAAAAACCCTGAAAAAGATTTGTGGATGTTGTGTAAGAGGACCTGGAGATTGTTGGGTTAACGCAGAAAGAGAGGCAGGGTATATAGGGTAAGATGTAGGCGGATGGTTGGCAGGGAAGAGCCAGAATTAAAAGAAGAAATAACTGTCTGTTTCATAAGAGGAACTCAAAGGACTCCATTTTAAACTTAAAATTACCACTGCCTTATAACAAGAAACAAGTTGATGATTAAGATGCTGATGCTGAATATGATTTCCTCATCAGCAACAACTCAAAGACAACTGGCTGGCTGGATCCTCTAACTCAGAACAAAGACACCAAAGCCTCTACAGAAAGTAAGTCTGTCGTCTGCGTAACTTGGAGCAACTACTCCACAGAGCTGGACGAATGTCCTTCGCCTCTCATCTCCCTGTACGATCCTTTCAGTCCCGCAGTTCACAGATCAGCCTTCGCAGCTACGCGGTTACTCCATCCACACCCGTCTCTCAAAAGGTCCTCAAGGTTTCGGCTTTAACATTGTTGGAGGAAGTCGTCCACACGAGTTTTTACAAGTGTACAGTGTCACTGCTGGAGGACCACCGGCCCTCACTGCAGGTACAATACCAGTTCCACCCATTCCACCTTGACCCCTTTTCTTCACTTTTTTTGTGCACTGTTCATTACTCTGGAGAGTTGACCCGAGATATTTAAAGACATCCTCCTGCACTCCCTCTACTCCTTGCCGAACTTATTTTTCCACTCCCCTCATTCGTTAAATGAAAAAGGGCTAAGGTCTGATTCCTGATTTACCACACTCCTACCTTTCTACCTATCAATCACTCCATCATCACACCTTATCCATCCATCCATCCATCCATTTTCACCCGCTTATTCGTTACCGGGTCGCGGGGGCAGCAGTCGCCACCCAAATCACATTGAACCGTACCAACCCCCCAAACCTTCCTGCGTTATATGTGTCCAGCACCACTCTCACTTTTCTGCCGCTCCTGACTTGTTTTATACAGTGCCACAGTTCCCCATTAGGCACCCTATCACAGGATTTTCTGTGACGAATGTTGCACTTTTTCTGCAAACAACGTTGCAATTTGGGTGCTATAGCAACAAGCATCTCCTTCTCCGCTTGTCTCTAGCGATCTTTGAGTGTCAGAGGGCTACTGTTTTTGAGCGCACGGAGCGAGTCTGCAGCAGCGCCGACAGCCAACAGCTGACTCCGAAAGGCAGGCAGTGTCAAATTAGGAAAAGTTACGACTCAAAAAAAACAAAACTTTCAACACCTGCTGCAAACCGGAGGTGCATATCAATATAAATAGATTAAATATATCAGCGTCATTTTGCTATGAATAAATCGCAAACCGGAGGTGCATATCAATAGAAATAGTTCAGTTTAGTAATAGTTTATCAGCGTCATTTTGCTATGAATAAATGTAACGAGCTGTGGATTTACCCTAATGTGAATATTAAATGTGTGAAAATACACATTTATTTGATTTTTTGTTGTTGTTTTGAAAATATTATAACATAATGAATCCATTAATCTTTCATTTGGGAATGTGTTTTGTTTTGTTTTTCCATTAATCTTTCATTTGGGAATGTATCAGGAGCGATTACAGAGTTTAGAATCACTGTTCTAAACATCTCCAGACGTCCACGCGTATATCAGTCAGACCAACAGCCTTTCCACAATTCCTCATCCTCGTGGTTGCCCTCATTTTCTCCTTACTTTCTGATGTTATTTCTCTATCATTTTCCTCATGTATAAGCTCCCCAGCTCCTCCTTTCTAGTTTCTCAGCACGCTATTGTCACTATCCAAAAATAGTTACATTGAGGGCAACGGGACGGAGTAAGGTTTCTTGAAGATGTTTCACCTCTAATCCGAGAGGCTTCTTTAGTTCTAACTAACGAGCGTCGTTGTAGAAACGGGTACGCAGCGTCATAATTTTTATCAACTGTAGTGAATGCAAATGGATGACCATTGCGAAGCTCAACTGTTATGTCTCTTAAAAATAAACTTATAAACAGGATTCATATCAGAAGAGAGCGTGTATTCTGGAGGAAGCTAACGATTCTTCAAAGAAGCAATCTGTTGCTTAGCAACAAAACAAACGATTCACAACATTTTTTAGCTCCTATAGTATTGGAGAAATGATTTTTTTTTTTTATATATTTTTCTTTTTGCAATAAAACAGTGTCAACTTTTCTTAACGGTATACTACCTGCAATATTTCTATAGAAATGGACTTGTAACTCGGTAACATTGCATTTGGCTCTCCTCCAGGAGACATCCTGGTCTTTATTAGCGACACGTGTGTTCTGGGTCGCTCCCATAAGGAGGTAGTGGAGATGCTCAAGTCCGTTCCTATGGGTCAGAGTGTTGATGTTGTTCTGAGGCGTGGCTACCCAATGCTCTACAATCCTGACGGTTGTCCCAAACGGAGTCTGGAAACAACAGTGAGTATCCGGCATAGTCCCCTGACCGCGATTCTTCTTCTTCTTTCAGCAGCTGTCATTTATCCCGGTTTCCAATTCTGACCTCTGTCCACAGACGCACAGTGATTCTTCCAGCAGTCAAGTTCTGACCCACCTGACATACAGCTGCACGCAGCAAGCCAATGGGAAAATCCCAGGTCAGTATATATATATTGTAAGGCTTCACTTGAACCAACATAATATAATTTATAATCAGCCACTGACTGTTTACTTGCTTTTCTCAAATTTAGAACGCAGCCAAACCCTGCCTTCCTTTGCTGATCAACCGATGACTAATGGGTTGATGGACGCCCCGACTCCTACTACCCCAGACACTCCACTGTGTACGCCACAACCCACAGACAGAAGAGCAGCCAATCACGGTGACCCCGAGGCTGACTTGTCCAATGCTAGAATTCTAAGGTGAGTATTAGCACTTAAACAATAGTTTAACCATGCACCTAAGTAGCGGTTAAGCCATTAAAAAGCAATGCATATCAACTACAAGAGGGGAGCAGTTCATGCTATGCTATCAGATTACAGAATCTCCCTCAAGTAGGAAAAACGTTTTACTTTCTGAATGTATAGCAAAACGACACATCCTCAATAAAAAGTCCTTCTTCACACTACCGTATTTTCCAGACTATAAGTCGCACTTCCTTCCTTCCTTCATCCTTTGGCTGGGTTTGAGACATAAAATATAGCATTTCACAAGTTTGGTATTTTCCCACTGTCAGCCATGAAAGGACACTCTGGGCTTGTGTACCAGTACCTGCGACTCCTGAAAATGTACATGTTCGTTATTTCCTGTTTCTCACAGGTCATCCCTGGTTCGCTACAACAGCAGTAGTGTCCTCGCCCATTCCTCCTCCTCCTCCTGTCTCCTCCAACAGCAAGTCTCTAAGTCCTCAGAGTGTGATCTATCGTCATCTAAGCTGCCCTTCGCGTCATCGGCCTCGCATTCCCGCACTCTGGCCAAACTGCCCCTCTCTCAGTCGGAGATTGTCCTTGTAAAGAGCGCCACCAGCCCCACGGACCCTTCTTCCTCTACGCCTCCAGGAGCACCGGCGCAGCACACTTTGATGCCCCAGACCCCAACTGCGGTAAACTTGCCGAGAGACGTCCCATCATGTGGCTTCAACGGGTGTCCAGCCAGTCATCCGATGCCCTCCGTAATCACCAGTGCAACAGCAGGAGCAGAGGCCGCGCTAGGGGCACCGTCATCTGCAACTTCACCGCATACTGGAGAGCTTGTGCCAGTGGCGTTAGGACGTAGTGCGGGCTCCGGACTGGGGTTTAGTGTAACAGCAGGAGGACAAGGGGGTCATCAGGCTGTGGTACGAAGGGTCTGGGATCGAAGGCAGTGTCCGTCTCTGCAGCCCGGAGATGCCATAATGAAGATCAATGGAACAGATGTCAAGAGCTTAAGATTCTCCCAGGTAAATTGTTCTTCTCCATCGACCCTTTCATGCATGACGGTCACTACAGTGGACAGCTATGAAAATGTCATTTCCTATGATAAGAATAGGTTTTGGTGGCAGCGTTGCATATAAGCCTCGACAGTGGACGCCTGACAATCACCCAACACTGCCATACAGTGGTCAGCCTTCGCCACTGCAGAATAATTGTGTCAACATTCCAAAAAGAAAATTTGGTGTATAAAAACAGAACCAAATCAGTTCTTATTTTGATGTCTAAAAACACATAAAAACACTTAGTAACCATTTTTTTAACTCAGTATATCATGAGACTTCTGGGGCGTTATGTACAAAGACTTGGATTTGGATTTCTGTTCTTGTTAAACAGGGCGTACGCTAAAATCCAGGAACTGTCGCAAGCCCAACAAAATTCAGATTTATTGATTCATAAGTGTACACCCCAATCAACGTAGAATTGAGCCGACCTGCAGATTTACCGAACCAGGCCGTGCAAATATATTTAAATTCACCAAGCTTTGTATCAACGGCATTGTATGGGAATTTAATGCACATGGATGACCATGACATGATCCTCGAGCTTTATCCTGAGATACAAGTAAAGACTCTAGGTGGCTGAGCACTTGGAGCAGCCCGCATCTACGTGATTTTTCTCTCTATTCTGCGCAATGTTCTTCACAGTGGTGATGAGTCCCAAGAAAGTGAGTGGTAAGGATGGTAGTGAGAAGGAGAAACGCACGATGACCATGGAAATAAAGCATCAAATTGTCGATAAATATGAGCGTGGTGCCCGCTAAAGAAAGAACACAAATAGAAAAAAGCAAAACAAAAAAACAAAAAAAACATAATGATAATGACGTTTCCCATCTTATTGCACCATTTACACAACGTGATAATGACCTTCCCCATCTTATTGCACCATTTACACAACGTTTGCACATCGTGTATACATACTGTATCTCTTAGCTAAGGCTTAAAGGTCGATAGTCAAGTTTGGTGACTTGACCTGTTGTGTTGGTACTTCTTAGGTGCAGAGAATCCTGCAGGAACACACCAAACAGGGCGAGGTGGTGCTACTGGTCTACAGAGGAGGTAGGATCAGTTGAGTTACTTACACCTGGAGACTAGTAGACTGCTAGCATGAAACCTATGCTACGACGGGCCAAGACCTGTTCCATTACAATTAGTTAGTAGTTCAAAAAGCTTAGTTAGGATGTCAGCCCTAAAATCTGAACCAGAATAAACGCAGTACTGCTCATGATTATTAACTAAACCAATGTTTTCATCATCAAGGCTCCGGCTCCTCTTACGTTGTCACACCCAACGTCTACAAGACTTTTTCCTCTCCTCGGGCGTCAACCACACAATCTGCAGCAGCTGATTCGCCTTCCTCCTCCGCAGGTGCCTCAATGGGGGTTATCCCCTTACTTAGTCAGGCTGGCTTGGCCCTTGAAGGTATTCAGGAAGGGCACCTTGCAGCCCCAGGAGGCAATCAAGGTATTGTCTTTCCTGCTTCCGTTCTTAATCACAATATAGTATTGTTCATTCGGAATGTCCGATATTCATTTTTTGCCGACATTGTCCAAACGTCTCATTTTCAATTCCGATAGCAACCAATAACCTATATATGCGACCGTTTGCCCAAAACTGAGGTAAACGTCTCAGGACCCTACAAGCGGTTGCAGCATATTTGGCAAAACCCAGGCGTTGCATGGTTGCGTTTTCATTTATACAGTAGATATTACGTAATATAGAGATGTCCGATAATACCGGCAAAACCGATATTATCGGACATCCCTATTCTTAATCACTATATTTTGCATACCTTATTATTTTTCGTTCTTTAGCTAGATATTAGATTTATAGCAGTTTTGGCTAATTCTTTAGGCTAAGATTAAGCCATTTATTTGTCTTATTTTCAAGCTAGGTCTAACCTATTAGCTATTCAGCTATTTCGGGACAAACCTTCAATTATCAAAGGTATTATTTACTAAAAGGAATTTCAAGCTAGGTCTAACCTATTAGCTATTTAGCTATTTCGGGACAAACCTTCAATTATCAAAGGTATTATTTACTAAAAGGAATTTCAAGCTAGGTCTAACCTATTAGCTATTTAGCTATTTCGGGACAAACCTTCATTTATCAAAGGTATTATTTACTAAAAGGAATTTCAAGCTAGGTCTAACCTATTAGCTATTCAGCTATTTCGGGACAAACCTTCAATTATCAAAGGTATTATGGAGGATTTTTACCAAAAGGAATATTGAGTTTTTCATAGTTCATGTTTCAGTTATGATATATGCTTGGATATTTTGTACAACATCTCATGTAAAAAAAAAAAAAAAAATGTTCTTGTGGGGATTGAACTATCCATGACTTACATGACTCTTTTTGTGTCCAGGGGTCAGTTCTCCTGCCCAGACACCTAACGGACCATCAGCCTCCACGCTCATTCAGAGCACTAGTTTTTTAGACTCAGTTCCGGTGACACTGACTTTGGAACCACGCGATTTGTTGGGAGCGCAGGAAAGTGCTGGCGGACCTCCTGCAAACACAGGTGGAGGAGCTGCAGGAGTAGTCACTAAAGAAGGGAGGAATGGAGGTGAAAGTGCGGTAGAGGTGGAGCTCAGGAGGAGACAAGGTGAAGGCTTTGGATTTGTCATTGCCTCTCAGGAAGTGCCCAGTGGAGGTGAGTCCAGAAACAACTGCAACCTTTTTTGGTTTCTCTCTACTGTTTTTTTTTTTTCTTTTTGGTTGATAATTCGCTACTGATAAACTAGAATACCAAATCAAAGTTCATGAACCTTTCACTGACCTACACCAAAATCCGTACACTGTAAAAAATCAGTGGCAAATTAGTGATAAGCCGTTTCTAACGGCTTGGTACAATTAAAAGACAGATCCCAAAAAGCTCCTAGGATTTTTGTTTCCCAACAATTCCTTATACAGTGGAACCTCGGTTTTCGAACTTAATTCATTCCTGGAGGCCGTTCGTTAACCGAAAAGTTCAAAAACTGAAGCAATTTTCCCCATAGGAAATGATGTAAAAATGGACTGTATTCCTCGACCGTGGATGACTCATGCTCATTCAAACTTTTACAACAGTAGTTTGTGGAAATGTTCATACATAAAGAATGAAACGAGTTAGACCCAACAAAAAAAAGATAAACACAAGTGAACAAAGAATAAAGCTAAAAATAGGAAAAACCAATTTCATTCATCCTTTTTACAAATCATAGTCTCCGAAACACTGTCACGGCCAATAGTAGCAACTTTTCCACTGCTTCTAATGTCTGAGATCTTTGCCTGGTGATCACAGTCACTCCTTTGGCGACCTCAGCTTCTTTTATCGCTTCGTTGTTCTTAATAACGGTACAAATCGACGACTTTGCTGAGCCGTACTGTAAACCAGATCTGAAACATGAACGTCGTTCTCATGCGTTCGTATAATCCCTTTCTTTACTTCTATTGTTGTTTTCACCACTTTCTCTAGCCTTTTTAGGTCCCGTGTTGATATATGGAATAAAAAAAAAATATATAGAAGAAATAAATTGCACAGTGCAAGAAATACCATCAAAATCAGACAATAGTTCTTAGCTAGTATGCCGAACGCCGGCTGAGGCAAGACTGACAGCGCCCGCTGTAATATACTATAATAGTATACCCTAATATTTCAATATATTAATATATTACCTTAATATTTCAATATATTCGCCAGAAAAAAATCGAATGTATGATCGTGTATTGTGTAGCACCTGTGATATATAATAATGCATTTTTCACTATTAAATTGGCATAAACTGAAAGAAAAATATTAACTGCGTTCCTAATAGTAGTTTTAAAACGTAATATGTAATACAATGACTATAGTATAAAGAAGATTTAATACATTGTATTATAACTTGTGTATATTAATAATAATAATATATTTTTCCTTTCTGGAACAATTCAAATATATATATATATATATATTTGAATTGTTCCAGAAAGGAAAAATATATTATTATTATTATTAATATACATTTATATATAATATATATATAATATATATATATATATATATATATTTGAATTGTTCCAGAAAGGAAAAATATATTATTATTATTATTAATATACATTTATATATAATATATATATATTATATATAAATGTATATTAATAATAATAATATATTTTTCCTTTCTGGAACAATTCAAATATATACTATATATATATATAGAAATATATATATAAATATATATATATATATATATATATATATTATATATATTTATATATATATTTCTATATATATATATAGTATATATTTGAATTGTTCCAGAAAGGAAAATTTTTTTTTTTTTTAAGGGTTTCTACTATTTTTGTCCAAGCATATATAGATATTTACCATTATATCAATAGCGCCCGCCTGATATTGTTGGCTTGTTAGGAATTTTTATCTCATTTATTTTTGAAATCATGGTGGTTTTTGACAATGGAGTCCCTGAAAGGAAAAAAAAAGAAGAAAAAAACACACTAGTTACTAGTGTGTGTTTGTTTGTTTGTTTGTTTGTGTGTGTAAAGGCAGGCTGTCACCTGTACGGCATGTGAAGTATCATTGGTTTTACCTTCATCTGGCTGAAAACACACACAGACACCCAACACACATCATCTTCAATACCCTACCACCTACTCGCCCCTCTTTTTTGGCCACACCCCCTGGGCTTTTTGCCCCTCTCTGTACAGCTTTCAGTGTCAGTATCACTCACCACAATAAAAGCACAAGGAGAGAGAGAGAGAAGGTGAGAGAGGTAGTTTCTTCCGTGTTACTGGATTCCTCCACCATGTTTGAACGAATGCAGTCAGCTCTGAAAAGTGTCAGCAATTCCAAACGTAAGTCTCTCTCTCTCTCTCTTTTTCTCTCTCGCTCGCTCTCTCTCTCTCTGTGGTACGGCTGTACTTGTGGGAACATTATTTGAAGTATGGCTGTACTTGTGGGAACATTATTTGAAAAAAATGCTATTGGTGTCCTTTTTGGGGTTTAAGGTTTAGTTTAAAGGATAGGATCACGTGTAGGCTAAAGATAAAGACGAGGCATATATTTGTAAAAGATAAGTGTGAAGACCTCAGAAAACAAAGACTGCTACTGACCTAAGAGTGTTGTTTTTTTTTTTCTCTTCTGATCATAGAACACTGAATAAATAAATAGGACAACACTTATTGGGATAGACTAATACATAACACTACACACTAAACAGGTAATATAACAATGGATTAAAGCAGTGGTTCCCAAACTTTTCTCTTGTTTATTCCACACATTTTATTTTTATTTATTATTACCAACTTTGGTCAGTTTCCAGGAGGTTGGGCCTGAGAATTTAAAAAATAACATCTGTCTTTTACAATATTATGTCCAATTTTTTTTTTTTTTTTTTTTCCAAATTTCCCGCCGCCTTCAACCAATCCCTTTTTACGCCGCCTTCAACCAATCCGTTTGTTGCCAGTCTCTTGTTAAACATTTACAGCATTGGACAACCTCGGGGGGGGGCGGGCTTCCCTCACTTTGGGAACCTCTGGATTGAACAGTGACTGTGATACGCTATGTGCTTCTACATGTAACATGCATCAACTACAATATACCTTAATATTTAAATATATTCACCATAAAAAAAAATCGAATGTACGATAGTGTGCTGTGTAGCACCTGTGATATATAATAATGCATTTTTTCACTTTATTAAATTGGCATCAACTGAAAGAAAAAATATTAACTGCGTTCCTGATAGTAATTTCAAAACGTATATAATATGGTATACAGTGACTATAGTATAAAGAAGATTTAATACATTGTATTATAACTTATGTTGATGTAATTTAAGATACCTTAATGTGGTGCAAAGCAGGGTCATACACATGTTATGCAACCGCCGCAAACCACCGCCGTTTCCCCTCCGACCGTCTCTCCCACACTTATTTCCTCCCTCCTCATTCCTTCTTCCTTTTTCTAGAATCATGTCAGGACTTTATCTGGAACCCATGGAAACCCAGAAGGGATTTAAATTGCATTGTAGCTTTGGGTGGAGCTCTTGTCCGTACCGGGTACTCACTGGCACTGGCGGTTCAGGGCAGTTCAAAGTTATGTAAAAACCAAAAGTTGTGTTTCAGAGCGGAAAAAGCAGATTTCTCCTGCTTTTGCTCTCTTTCTCTACTAACGTATACGAATAGAATTTTAGAGTGGAATTTGTCGTCGTGTTGAAAACATATCGCTAACACAAAGAAGTATTGGCAATAGCTAAATGAGGCCAAACCAGGTACAAAAGCGCAAAGACTAAACGTGAGAGGTGTGTGATATGCACTCGCGTGAACACGTGACTCTGTATCTGCAGCGCTCTCTTTGATGTCCCACCGCTTCGTGACGGTGCGACGCGGCAGCCCGGCAGCTCGCTGTGGACAGATTCAGCCTGGTGACCAGCTGGAGGCAGTAGAGAACCGGCCTGTCGGTGGGCT